TGGGTGACACCCGGAGCGGTAACCGTGTGTCACCCCGCCGAGACGTCACTGCGCATGCGCGTGACGTCACCACGCACGTGCGCGATGACATCACGAGTGTCAGTATGCTGATACCTGCCGGCGTCCATCACCAAGAGGGGGGGACAGTCACCCGGCGGGATAAGGTATGCCGCCGGGTCCCCTCCTCTTTCCTGATACTGTCTGGCATTCGGTCCATGACCGAGCGCCCGACTTTTCAGAGGGGGGGTGACACCAAAATGAATGTGAGTCATTTTGGTGTCACCCCTCCAATGGTGGCACCCGGGTGCGGGCCGCACCCCCTGCACCCCCCTTGTGACGCCACTGGCTAGGGGCCAATCGTTAGTTATATGAAGCCGCAGACGCAGCTTATGGGTGGTTTTTCTTACCTTGAGTTGTTAATTATATAGCTGTGTTATTTTGTTTTCATTTCATTTTGATATTTTATTAAACAAGTGGCTGCTGTGGCCCCTTTTGAACTCCATACAAGTCTTGTGTGATTTCTTGAGGGAAATTGGGTGAAGTGTTGGGATTCTTAGTAAGATAAGAAGGGGGTTGTTGGTTTAGATAGGCTTCCTCTGAAATAACCTTGCCATGGTGTTACCTTCTTCCACCTATACAGTATGACCATGGGGATTGGGCTGTGGTAATGATTACGGATAGGATAAGGGGGTTGTATTGTAATATTTTTGCAAAACAGTTCACATATATGGTATGTATCTCGTCATTCCCACTTTAAAAAGGAACCTGTGCTGAGAGAAAAGGTGTGCTTGTACTGCTGTAATCTCACACAACAGGTGTGCCCACAGGAACAGCAGAGGAGAATGCACCGGAGAAAGGAGGGAGGTGCACTATAGTGCAGAGCAAAATAGCCACAGGAAGCAGAGGAACGAGGCTGCATGGACAAACATGCACACAGGAGGAAGACAAACTCACAGGAAGCAGGATCTCACTGGGTGCACAAGGGAATCACAGGAAATACAAACAACAAAGTAGGTAAATGACAATCCACAGTAATCCAAGGCAAATAGTACACAGGGGGTCCGATAGCGACTTGCTGCTCGAACGTCAGGCAACAAGTGAGCTAAACATTTAACAATGAGGTTCAGCGTGGATTGGCAGGGAGCCGAGCACCTGGGACAGGAGGCAAAATCCCGCTGCGGATCATGGCACAGGGAAGTGTGACACAGGCTATAATGCTGATCCTTTAGCGTCAATGTTCCTTTACTGTCTAGTCATACGGTGGGATGATCAGATCAGGTCCATGACAGCCTAAGCCCATAGGAAATGGGTTGAATGATGATAGCCGTCATTCAACCTGTAAGACCGAGGACATATAGTGGGGGAAATAAAGTACTTAGGGTGGACAGCTCAGGGAGATGAGTATTGTAGCAAAAGCTGTTTTCTTTATTTTATATTTTCATGAGCTTTTTATTGTTTAAAAAAGTTTTTCTGATTTAAGTTCTGCTTTAAATCAGTAAGCAATTCAGTTCTGACTTAACTGACTGCAAACATTTTTTGCGTTAGTGAGTTAGAATGAGGTGAAGGCAGAGGATCAACATGACAGCCAACAACCAGGCACTATATTGTAAGCATAAAAGTAACAACTTCCATTTTTGTTATAGCACAGTTATCCTTTCATGCCCTTTTGGTAAAGTACATCTAAAGCCAAAACTATTACTGTGTCCTCAGATCTTTGAGGAAACCTAGAGGGACAGGCTTTTAGGTTCCACCATTGGGACTTCAGTGGGACCCTCATTATACATTTATTTATCTTTCATTTACTATTAACTGTCTGTAGATAGGGGAAAGCATGCTCCTATGTTTTGAACTGTAGACACTCGCTTTTTACATGTCCGTGGATGATACATAGACATCACAAGCACATCCCAAGAATGGTCATTTGCTAACTACAAATGTATATAAACAACTCTATGGTGCAATTAAATATTTTTCTTTTTTTAACTTTACTGTTGGGGGCTTCAGTGAAATATTAAGAGTCTAAACAGACCCCTGATATTTCCCTTTTAAAATAGAAAAAGAGAGCCCACAATCACTTTTTCTGCAGCCTCTGTTATAAATGAACAGGAAGCCTCTATACTGAGTGTTCCTGTTCATTTATAACATGTGGATATAGTGTGTTTACTATGTACACAATCACTGATCACTGACTGCTTATACTGCTCTCCATCCTGCATCAGTTGTCACAGGAGGGTGAGGAGGCGATGCGGGGAGAGCTCAGTCTATTTTGACAGCTGACTCCTCCCCCTCACCAACAATCAGGCTCCTGTGACAGCACACGGCTGTCTCAGCCCCCACACCGCTCTCCACCCTAATCGGTCAGTGCGGGATGAGAGCCAGGCCTCCTGTGATATCATGGCTCACACCGCTCTCCTCCCCCGCCCCATTCGGCCTTCTCTGACTGTTTCTCTCCTCCCTGCTGGATGCTGCGCTGTGTCAGAGGGAACATAGAGCAGCGCACAGCGGGGAGGAGAGAAACTAGAAATGCACCGCAATTTTGCCCGAAAGATGGTACTTTCAGGATTTTGCCAAAAGTGC